AGTCCAGCGGAACTTCCCCAGTGAGCCAAGACTGCCCAAAGATAATGGACAGGGGTTTGGCAATGACATCCGCCAGCTCTCTCAGGACTCTCGGGTGGACACCATCAGGCCCCATAGACTTGTGGGCATCCAGTTGGTGAAGCAGATTCTTGACCCATCCCTCTTGGATCACAGGAGCTTTGATCTGCTCTCCCTCCCTGCCCTCAGACACCATAGGTCGGCTCACCTGGCATTAAGGACCTCAGCCTTGTCCTCATCCCTAGTGACTAACGTACCCGCTGTGTCCAGTAGGGGCTGGAGGTAATCTTTAGCCCTCCTTTTGTTATTAATGTATTTATAGAAGGACTTTTTGTTGTCCTTTACAGAGCAGGCTAGTCTAAGTTCCAGTTGGGCTTTTGCCCCCCTGATTATCTCCCTACATGCCCTAACTTCCTCCCTATAATCCTCCCTGGACGCCTGCCCATTCTTCCAAAACTTATAGACATGCCTTTTTCTTTTGAGGTGTTCCCAAATCTCCTTGGTCATCCAAGCTGGTTTTCTACCCCGGCGACTCGATTTCCAGCACACAGGGACAGCTCGCTCCTGTGCCTCTGGAATTTCCTTTTTGAGGAGTAACCAGCCCTCCTGCGCTCCCTTACCCTTGAGAGCTGTCTCTCACTGTAGTCTATCAACCAGACTTCTAAACAGCCCAAAGTCAGCTCTCCCAAAGTCCAGCTTGGCTGTTTTAGTGCTCCCCCTCCTAACTTCCCCTAGAATTGAGAATTCTATTATCTCATGGTCACTATGCCCCAGGCGTCCTCCAACCGTCACATCTCCTACGAGACCTTCTCTGTTCATAAACAGCAGGTCTAGGGGAGCACCTTCTCTAGTCGGTTCACTGACCAGTTGTGATAGGAGGTTGTCCTCCACACACTCCAGGAATTGCCTAGACTGTTTTCTAACTGCTGTGTTATACTTCCAGCAGACATACGGTAGGTTAAAGTCACCCACAAGGACAAGGGCTAGTGAGCGCGAGACTTCCCCCAGTTGTTTAAAAAACAGTTTAGTGTCATTTCTGTTTTGTCTTTGCTGTAGCTGGAAGAACTGAGGCAGAGGGTGAAAGAACTGGAAGACAAGGAGAAAAAGGAGAGTAAAAAGATGGCTGATGAGGATGCCCTCCGCAAGATCCGAGCAGTGGAAGAACAAATTGAGTATTTACAGAAGAAACTAGCCATGGCGAAGCAGGTGAGAAGTTTGATGAGTTCTGTCTTGGCTGGAGCACCTGGGAAGGAACTGCCTTCAGGTTACAGCCAGGAAGATTACGTGAGAAAAGGAATTTCTGTTTCTGTGTATGCCAGAGATGTCAGTTTTGTCTCTATTTATGGAAGGGGAAAAAACCCAACTAGCCAAAAAAAACAACAATGATAAAAAACCCCCACAACACCAGGGTGTCACAAAGCTTACGGTGGGGGGTAGTGGGGAATGTTTAATTGTTTGTGGCCTAGGTGAAGAGCAGAGAGGAGAGATGGCTGGATCAGCCTTTAGGGGAGTAGGTTGCAATTTCTTTTTAAAAGTATTACCTGCACAGTTCATGTAATTAATACATGCGCATGATACTGTGACATACCTTCTTCCACAAAGAAGAGCTTAATCTAATGATAGGAGAGCAAGTCCGCCTCAGCAGGGGAGAGGCAAGCCAGTGACTTAACATGTACTTTTTTAGAATTCAGATTCTTTTCCTTATAGTACAGATCTGTTCTGTCCTGTCACTTACTCCTCTAATGTTGAAGTGGCCGAAGGGAGTTTAAGGAGTTTGACAGCCCCAAGTTGGAAGTTGTCGAGTTGTCCATCCGTAGAATTCTTGGCTTAGTATGTATGACAGCTACTCAGCTGGCTGCCTCATGTTTTCTGCAGTTGGTTTCTACCCAGCCCTGGCAATGACTGTGTCACAGCTGATTTTTGCCAGCAGACAAGCCACAGTCTACGAATGCTTATGAAGATGACTATTTCTTTTCTACACTTTCTGATTTAGGGCATCACTGCTGTGGTGCAGACTTCTAGGGAGCACTTTTTTCTGGTTGTTGGGAAGATACTGTTCTCTGATGCTGAGACATCTTCCTTCGTCTGTGCTAGATGTGGTGTCTCTGAGTAAAATGTTCAGGGTCATTGTAGGATGTACAGGATACAGTTTTGCCAGAGCCTGTGATTCTTTTGCAGGAGGAAGAGGCTCTGCTGTCAGAAATGGATGTCACAGGCCAAGCCTTTGAAGACATGCAGGAGCAGAACATCCGCCTGATGCAGCAGCTGCGGGAGAAGGATGATGCCAATTTCAAGCTGATGTCAGAACGCATCAAGTCGAACCAGATCCATAAGCTGCTGAAAGAGGAGAAGGAGGAGCTGGCAGACCAAGTTTTGACACTGAAGACACAGGTAACCTGGGAGGAGGAGAGAGGACAATAGAACTGATGGGGGAAGGTGGAGGTGTTGTGGGTTAACTCTGGTACGCAACTAAGCTCCACGCAGCCACTTGCTCACTCCCTCATAACGGGATGGAGAGAGAATCAGAAGGGCAAAAGCGAGAATAGTGGTGGGTTGAGATAAAGACAGTTCAATAGTTAAAGGAAAGCTGTGTTTACGAGCAAAGCAAAACAAGGAATTCATTCACTGCTTCCCATGGCAGGCAGGTGTTCAGCTGCCTCTAGGAAAGCAGGGCTTCATTATGCATAACAGTTACTTTGGAAGACTAACGCCATATTTCTGAACATTCCCCTGCTTCTTCCTTTCCACCAACTTTTATTGCTGAGCACAGCATCATATGGTATGGAATATCCCTTTGGTCAGTTGGGGTCAGCTGTCCCATCTATGTCCCATTCCAGCTTCTTGTGCACTCCCAGCCTACTTGCTGGCAGGCAGCACGAGACGCGGAATGTCTTGATGCTGTGTTAAGTACTGTTCTGCAATAGCTAAAACAGTAGTGTGTTATTGATGCTGTTTTGGTCCCAGATCCAAATTGTAGCACCGTATGAGCTGCTATGAAGAGAATTAACTGTATCCCTGACAAAATCAGTACAGAAGGGAATGTTTCTCTAATTGTCCTAGGTATGCTGCATCAGACTTGAAAGGGTCCTGTCTTGGTAAGAAACAGAGACTGCTGTATGAGTATAACATGTCCTACAGGTTCATTGCTGTGGCGAGCAGGAGGGAGACAGAAAGTGGGAAGTAATTTGCTTACACCAAGGTGAAACTGTTCACTTGCAGCAGTTCTCTAAACCACCTTCCAAAAAGCAAGACATGTTTGTTGTGAGTATTTGACTGCTGAGTTTCAAAGTATTTGCCAGAGAGGTCTGGGTACACCTATAAGACTGCTAGTGTGTCAGTTCAGGGAGAAAAAGGCAAGCTGAAGAGGTACTCCTTGGTGATGGGGAGGCAGGGATAGTTTAAGCATGCAGCTTTCATGACAAGTCTGAAGACCTGCAGAACATGCATTTCAATCCTTCTGTACCTCCTGTCTCCCTTTCCAAGGTGGATGCCCAGCTGCAGGTTGTACGAAAGCTGGAGGAGAAGGAACACTTGCTGCAAAGCAGTATTGGAACGGGCGAGAAAGAACTAGGTCTCCGAACACAGGCCCTGGAAATGAACAAACGCAAGGTGAGTGATTGCTTGATTTCCTCTTGGATTGTAAGATGGAGTTGTTGCTTTGTGGGAAGCACAGAAGGCTTCTAGTTCTCAGTGGTGTTACGGAACCTGATATTCCCTGGTTTTGGACTAGTATACCAGAAGGCTGAGGAGTCCCAAAGAGAGTTCTGATTAAAGTATTGTAGACTGATGTTTCCTTTGAATAAGGACAAGGAGGTCATAGGTGTTCCTGTAACAGTCTGATTAGGGAGCTGAAGTAAAGTGCCTTTAAAAGGAAACCTGTCATGAAAGAAGAGGCAGCAGCTAGATGAAGTTAACTGAGGTCAAAGCTTTTATAGGAAAGATGAGGTAACTAAAAGGAAAATATGACTGGGCAATGTTAAGACCTTTAACAAATGTGTATGATCAATATAGTAGGTCTGTTACAAGTAAAGTAGGACTAAGTCTCATGGTCAGTGCTGCCTGTGTTGTTAAATCTTTAGTAGAAGTACAGGAATGACATTGAAACAGACAGAAGGAAAGCAGAAATATCATGGGGAAGAGGAGATGGGAGGAATTCAGCACAATCACTTGTGCTTAGTAACACAATCTGTGGTATTGAAGGAACTTGGGCAATAGATTCATTGGTGCAGGGAGAGTTAGAGAGTGATAGGAGAACTAGTCAAGAGAGAAAATTATTAAAAAATAAGCACTTATCTTGCAGTTTTGTCTAGTTCATCCTTAGAATGCCTAAACAATTTAATGGAGAAAATGTAGAAGGTGGAAGGCTGAAAATACTTGAACATGAAGAGAATTGTGTGGTTAGAAGTATTTTTCTAAGTGACATGCATTGCAGTGTGACACGGGTTGGCTCTGCTGAAGAGGAATGTTAGAGCTAAATGATTAGAACTTGTTAATAATAAGATACCTTGCTGTTGAAATAAGGTTTAGGGAGTATTTCTGGTTATTCCATTTGGAAGTACCGAAATTAGATTGAAAAAATAAATCTCCAGAAGGCCAAGGAGTATTCTGTGAGCAGTCTTGGATTGCCAGGCAGAGGGACTAGAAATCACTAGAACTCTTTTTCCATGTTGGGTACCTCTATGCTGGTTTTCTTTTTCAGGCCATGGATGCAGCCCAGCTTGCAGATGATCTGAAAGCCCAGTTGGAGCTGGCTCAGAAGAAGTTACATGACTTCCAGGATGAGATCGTGGAAAATAGAGTAACGAGAGAGAAAGAGATGTTCAACTTCAAAAGGGCTGAGGTATATACCTTGTGTACAATCCTTCAAGATCTATCTTATTTGATGTCTGTCTCCTTGTATGTTGAGCTTGGAGTGGGTTTCAACTACACTACTTTTGGGGGGGTCCAGTTTCACTTTGATTTCAGCTTCATCAAGTCTTGGCTCTTTTGGGTTTTGTCCACTGATAACTGACAATATATGTGACACCAGAAGATAATGTAATCTGTCGTAAATCTGTTGGACTATCAGGGATGAGAGTATGGGTGGACTGACTTAGCCAGGTGCGCTGTTGGCTGGGTGCTAGTTCTCTGCAACAGACAATATACTGCTCATTTATTTGGTCTCTTGTTTTTATGCAGGAAGATATTTCTAGGTTACGCAGGAAGCTGGAGACCACTAAGAAGCCTGACATGGTTCCCAACTGTGATGAGATACTGATGGAAGAAATCAAGGATTACAAGGTGAGCAGCTATTTCTATCAACTTCCCCCTTTAACTCTAGTCAAAAGGCTCTGTAGTCATGTTTTCAGTATTTGAGATCTTTTGTCTGTACTCTGGCATTGTGGACTTATCATGCATTGAAGAAACCACCTTCTCCTTGTGAGGAATAGAAGGACCTTCAGCATCAGTCATCTTTTAACATATCTAGTGCAGTGCAGTGGGCATTCACTGTAATATTTCTGTCTTGCAGGCCCGCCTGACCTGCCCATGCTGTAACATGCGCAAAAAGGATGCTGTGCTCACGAAGTGTTTTCATGTCTTCTGTTTTGAGTGCGTGAAAACACGCTATGACACCCGGCAGCGTAAGTGCCCCAAGTGCAACGCTGCCTTTGGTGCCAACGACTTCCACAGGATCTACATCGGTTGATTCTTTCTACTGGAGCGACGGAAAGTTGCCGCTTACGCTGACCACCCAGCCTCCCTCACTGTCAGTGATTGTTACCTTTGGGGCAGTCAGTGCTTCTGTCAGCTGATCTGCAGTCTCTCCTGGGAAGTGTGGTTAGAGTATGGAAAGAAACAGGTTCTGGATCTTGGTTCCTTTCTTGTCCTTTTTCTTTTATTCTTGCCCTCAGTTTTTGTGGATTCTTTGTGCCTGGGAGGATGTTTCTCATCCATCACTTTCACACTGCCAAGTTAGGAACATATAGCTGAAGTGTTACCTTGATGGGTTGGAAGGTATCTGTGGTGCAGCAGAGATAAATGAGGCCTTTATTTGAGGAGTTTGCTTTGGATGTTAATTATTAAATCCCATCAAGGTATGGTAGTGTGTCTGAGTGAGTAGTTTCCCAGTTAAAGGGCCAAATAATGAATGAACAGGTACATCTGGTACACCTGTAGACTTCAGTGAAGTGACTCCTGAGATATGTATCTTCCTGAGTCAGGGCAAGAATCTGTGAAGGCTGGTGCATTAGTAAACAGAAGAGGAGAAAGATAAGATGTTGGAGAATCTTTGAAAATAGTGTTCCACTGATGAGTCATGGTTGATGTGGATGTCTTCCCCTAGGTTGAGGCATTGCTGTCATTGCCCTTAAGTTTCCAGAAGATAATTTGTAGGGGTTACTTTGTTGCAACTATTACCACAAAGATTAATCTTGTAATGCACAAAATCTAATAAAAGCTATTGCCTGGGTTATTTTTCTGTTTTTCTTGTCTCATGTAGTATCTATGTGTGCTTCTGTCCTTTGTCCAGTTGTTGGAAACATTTTTCACAAGCTTTAAGTTTCTGAAGTAGAGAGATTAATTTCTTCCTTCCTCTGTTTGCAAAAAATAGTTAACTAAAACAACCGTCCTTCTTTTGGCTGTATCTTCACTAACTTATTCCTGACACAACAGAAGGGCCAAGATGCTGGATTATTTATGCAGTCATTTTGTCATGGCCGCTGGGAATTTTGTGAAAGGATAGATTATAGTCTCTATGCTCCCTGTAGTGCAAGGCTCTACTTGCTCCTAAAATCAAAACGTGAAGTCATTTATTTACAACATTCCTTCGTAGGGTATAGTGTTTTTCCTGTAAACTTAATTTTCTTGGAAGGTGCAACTGTCAGAGGTTTGTCTCCTGTGTCCCTTCCCTGAATTATAAAATCTGTGTTACCTTCCTGTATTCCCTGTAGGAAATAACATAAACAATAGTAAAGTTAAAGCAATTAATCGCAGACGGCCTTATGGTATGCGTTATTATTTTTTATCTTTCTGAAAACATTCCTAAAATATGAATCAAACTTTGTAAATTATTACGAATCCTGAAAAGCAAGAAGGAACACATGACTTTATTTTTGCAAGGGGAAGCTGGGACGCTGAGAGTTTGTGGTATGGCTGAAGTTTTGTTACAGTACGTGTAGAAGGAATGAAAGCAGAACCCTCTCTGCTTTCACTGGAAGTTGCTGCCTGGATTACAGTTTGTGACATCAAGTTGGAGAAAACGGTGCATGAGGAAGACTAATGCTGATGGTAGATTTTGTGGTGCAAATGCTTGTTCATCAAAACCAGGACCTGGGTCACCAACAAACTGGATGTTCCAACAGCTTTGCTCTAATGGCAGACTTCATTTTACAGCTGCGAATGACAATCTGAATTAAACAGTCCTTGAAGAGGTGCAAAGCCCCTTTATCCTTTCCCAGTCATTAAGTCACATCACCTTCCTACTGGAAATCAAGCTTGAAACCTATGTGTGTACTGTCAGTGTTGCTTTTGCTCTGGCCATGGTAGGAAACAAACACTTGAAACAGTCTGGGTTTGTTTCACAGATGAGGTTTGGAAACTCCTATTTTCTTTCCTCACCAAGAAAAAAGTATTTTCTTATTTTAAAATTCTATTTTAACCTCAGGAAATCCTTGAAGCTCACTTTGAAAGTGGCTGGATTTCATTCTGTGCTTATAATTTAAACATTGAGAGACAGTGCAAATTTTAGATGATCTCTTTCTACGTACCAGAATTAGAGGAAATAATTAAAAGTTTATCAGGACTAGAAGTATTTTAGGGTAAAAGAAGGCAAGGGATGACAAGTGTTATCAAAAAAATCTGTCTAGTGTCTCAGCCACAGTAGTTAAGTGTAAACGAAGAAAAAGCCTCTCTAGCCTTGACAATGTGTGTGCACATGTATTTTTTTTATGTATGTATTTGTTTATATCTGAAGAGGAGTGGCTTTGCAAGACTTTAGCTTAAATCTTTATGCTTAATCAGCAGGGTTTTGGAAGAGCATTGTTATCAAAAGGCAGCCTATAAATATGAGAATTGCGTGTCATGGGCAGAATAAATTAATGTGGAATGATGAACTGGAAGTATAAGGTAGGTTTTTGGGTTGGGTTTTTTTGGCGTGTGGTTTTTTCATTTTGATTTTTGGTTTGGGGGATTTTTTTTTTTTTAATCCAAAATAGCAGATGGGTCAAGCTAAAATAAAGCTGCAGTGGTAATCTTCTTTGATTTTTCTTCTTGCTACCTGTCTTGTACACGATATAAGAATCTCGGGACTAGCCCAGGCCAGTTGATGTCAGTAGCGTGACCCTGTGTCAAGCAGGAGAGTCATCACCTGTGTTGTTCCTTCATCCAGAACCCATCTGTTGTCCTTCATATCTGTCAGCTGAAGTTATTTTTTTCTTGTGATAACTGAAATTGGAAACGTGTTTGACTGACTTCCGTCCTGTAAATCTCCTGCGCTCCTCTCCCATAAGATCAAGCTAGTCCTAAGGGTAGTGCGGTGTTTCCAGTCTGCTGGCTGTGACCTGCTGGTAAGCAATGATCTCTTGTGCTTTCTCCCCTGTGGGCTTTATGATGCTAGATGTGTCCAGGGCACTGTAGAATCCAGACAGGATGAAATCCATGAGGAATTTTAAGTTCCTCCTTTGATCTGAGGAGGGAGGAATCAAACATGAGGCCCAACAATATGGACAGGCCAGAATCATCGACAGTCTCCAGTGTTTCTTGTCATAGCCAGACCTCCCCCCGCTTATGCAGACTGCAGGCATTGACATGCGTGTGATACTATCCCACAGAAAGTTATGGCAATCTTTATCTCCTATGGGATCATACTGGAGCAATAGCTGAATAAGAAAGTAACACGCCAATTGTTTCTCTGGTAGGCAACCGTAACTTGGACCTTCTCCCAAAAGGCTTCTAGTTGGTGCTGCAGTAATTTGGAGCAAGCCCTCTTCTGCCTTTGACATGGGAGTAGCTTCTAAGGCACTCACCAGAAATACAGACTTTTGCTTAACATTAATTATTAGTTGGTTGACATTTTTCACTGAATTTCTTTTTTTTTTTTTTTAAATGAAGAGTGCTTTGTTGAAAGATTGGGTGTTTGATTTGAACTAAACCACACATTTTTGTTTCAAATTGTTACCATTCTCAATTACTTTTTTTTTTTAAATTTTCTGGGCTCATGCATGTAGCAATAAGGACATAGCAAACTGTTGATAAACATACTGATAAAATTGGGCTGAAACACTTCTTTCCTAGTGTTTGTCTCATAATAATGAAAAGAGCAGTGTTCATCTGTTCTAACCAAATGGATGATGGAGGTTGTGAGGTACGGGATGCTACACCAATAAAAAGCTCCTCCTAAAAACCTGATTATCTAAATGAGGGAGGGAGGGTAAGAGCAGGCAACAAAAGTAATGTAAGTGATTCGCCCCTAGACATTTAGCTTGAGAGGAGCAAGGAAAGATGGGACAGCCTAGGTCTTTCAGATGTAGCTGATGTGCAAGGCTCTGGATCCCACATTCCTGTTTTACATCCTAATTAATTTTATGTCCTGTGGTATTGACTCTATTGGAAGAAGCAGACACACTTGCTGTCTAAAAGCAGAGGCCAAGGACTGAGCAGGGAATAGAATATGAACTCCTCTTGATGAGGCTTGTTAGCCTGAGTATCGCTGCTGTCAGCTTTTGGTGGTCCCTGCAGAGCTTTTCGTTTGCGAGTGTTTTTCAAAGGGTGAAGGTGCAAAAAGGTAGAATGCCTTTTTCAAACCTAAAAATAGTTTTAGATCTCCCTGTAGCCTTTACACCATGCTTGGTGAGAACATCACCCCTGGCAACATTCATGCAGGTGGCTGGAGATACAGAGAAGGTAAAAATTACTTTGGTGATGTATCTGGGAGACCAGAGTTGGAAAATTCTGATAGTGTTACAAATGTTCAGTTTCTCTGTAATATGGGATGTATTGGGAAATGTTGTTTAAAAATTCAGAGAAATCCTGTTTAAATAACACAGCCAGTTGGGTTGATGCAGTATTTATTCGATGCTGAACAGCTTACTCTTCCTTCCCCTCTACTCATCATCCAGGTGGTAGAGAGCTCCATTCAGTACTTTGCCTTTGAAACTGCAGCTCTCATCTTCCTTCACAGTGAGCCCTGATCCCCAGGGAGGCTTTGGTGACTCCCTTGGACTTTGGTGAGAGCTTGGTGTTAGAATAAATCATGGACCAGAGCCCCTTTATGTCACTTTGGCTGTGAGAAAGAACCTTACTGTCAACTGAAGACAGATAATATTAAGGGAGTAGTGTCACATTGGTAAATACCTCACCTTTGGCAGCAAATATTGATTTACAGTACTGCCACCTCTCCTCCCCTCACCCTTGCTCTGTGCCACCATGAACCCATCCCCATGCATCAGCCAGTGCAGCTGTTTGCGTGGCTTCTCTCTGGGTGGGAGTGGAAGCCAAACTTGGGCTCAGAAGCACACAGAGGTGGTGGTTTGTTTTTTGCCAAGTTATTTTTAAGCTGGGTGAGTTTCTTTATCACAGTCACAGAGCAGCCACATCTGCGTTTGTGCTGACAGAGCTGAGGGAATGGTGTGCACTGGGATTGCCACCAAGAATCTGTCTTGATGAAACCACAGCCTGTGACAGGAGGAAAGGGATTGCCAACGCAGAACTAGCACCTGGCGTAATGAGGCAACCATCAGGGGCCTTAGGATGAAGGGAGACTAGACCCATAGATATCGCAACAAAAATGTACCAACAAGGGACATGCTTCTGATCAGCAATTCAAATTTCCTTCTTTTTTTTTTCTTTTTTTTTTTTTCAAATAATGCACAGAAAGGCCTAAAAAAGTGGGTAAACTCACTGTACTGTCAAGTGGAGGAACCAGGAACTCTCACTGTTCGGATGTTCCTTGTTTCTCCAGTCCCTTGGGAATGGCTGATGTTTGCCAGGAGAATGAGAAACTTGTTATGAAAGGAGGAGGACTCAGCGGGGTGGCAGTGGCTGTGGGCTGCTGCAATTCTGCTCTCATGAAGAGCGTATTGCCTGCTTTATTTTTGCACCTCTTTCTGGCATTACAAAAGTGTGTTACAAACTTTGCAGAGGAAGGGGAGAAAGGAAGAAAAGGGGAAAGGGCCCAGGTGTGCTGGCCTAGGGCTCTGCAGTCCTGTTTGTCCTCTGATACTCTTCCAGCTCTGATTTCCTGTCCATGGCGAGTTGCAGCTCCTTCTTAATGATTTCAATCTGTTTCTCCAGCTCTGTAAGCTCTTGCATCACTGAGGTCCTGGCAATATTGAGGGACTCTGCTTTCCCGTTGGTCGTTAAAGAAGCCGGAGTCTCCCCCCTCACCTGGGGCAGAGGGATGTCTTGGTGCTGTCGGATCGTCACCTCGTTTTGCCCTTCATTCGTGCAGATATATTTTTTCCGGTGACAGTTGCCCAGATTGGCTGTATTCCACACAGAATGCTGGCTGTTCCCTACATGGGACCTGAAAAGAGATGTGAGAGTTAATACAAAATCACAGCCTGCTCTTGTGTGTATGCAACCCTCCCCTGTGAGCCACCCTACTGGAAAACATGCTGCTACTGTTACAAATTACGTAGGGATATTATTCCTTTATCCTTGGAATTTTTTGTCTTAAGAAGCACAAATCATCAACGCAAACGGCCAAATTTTTGTGATTAAACCATAGCAGAAACTAGAACAGAACCCTAAAATTCATCTTCCCCAAAACTATTTTTGTTAGTTTTGACATCAGTCCTCTCAATTCCAGCTCAGGAAAATGTGAGTCCTCCTGCAAAGCCTTCTGAAAGCTTTTGTGGTTGCAATGTGCTAAGTTCATTACAGCATTAGTCCTTTGTGTGTTAGTACTCTGTGCTAGCTTGGGCCTTTGCTACCATGGAGGAGGAAAGACGCTGCCTGGAGTTGGTGTGGAGAGATGCAGGGGATGGCGTGCCTTTTGAAGTCTTGTTGTGTAGCTGCTTGTGCTTTGGGGGATGGACACAGTGCTGTGGTGTACCCAAACCTTGCAGTGTACAAACATGAGCTTTCTGACAAAATAAATAGAATTTGGAGTCTTCGGGGGGGGGCGGGGAGGGGGGTGGAGAAATTCCCATTTGGGAACTTTTTAAAATGCTTCAATGTTTTCCTGCAGAAAGGTCTTTCAAAAATATTTTGATTCCAGGGAATCTTCTCTCTCTTTCTTGGGAACTTCAATCTGCAGCCCTCCCAAATCAGAGTGTTGCCCAGTGTTTCTTCCCAAATAGAGGAGCACTCCGTGGCCTCTGCTTTCCAACTGGAACATAAGGAAGCCCAGAGTTTGCTGTTCTGGAAGAGAAGCTTGGCTTTCCTACCTGCTTTACCTTTTAGATAAATCTGTGTGCATTCATTTTATAAACTGAGGTTGAAACTCTGAAGTAGTTGCTCTTAAAACTGCTCCATCATAGAGGTCTTCTGTGGGTATCCTTGGACAAAATGCGTATTAGTGTGAGCTACCAATTGGCAGGTTAGGGAAAAGGATTAATGTTTCAGGACTGGGATTGCTGTTTAGAGGAGTCCGGAGCTGGGAGTAGGTACTTTTCTCACCTGCCTGCAGAGAAGGAAGTTGGAAAGTGGAAATTTCTTCAGCGGAGTTAGCGATCAGGAGCGTTTTCAAAAAGATGGGATGGCAGAGAGGAAGGAGGGGAGGCTTTAGGCAGGAGTGGCAACCCCAGCCTGGGTCATGCTCCGGAGGGCTTATGGATCCCTAGCAGGGATGTGTATGTGGAGTTGTTTATTTTTGTGTAGATCAGTGATTTTCTCATACTTCAAAATAAAAGACAGGAACACTCTTGTGTTAAACTGGATGTGTGTTTTGTGATGCAATTATGTTAATTCTCTGAAGAGATGAAAACAAACAAGTACCTCTAAGCACTTTCCAGACAGGGAATAGGATTAGCCTGAGCAAGCAGAAACTGGCAAAGCATTTCCAGGGCCAAGAGCAGAAGACCACCATGCTGCATTTGCACACACAGTGGTCTAGACATAAAAGGCCACCTAGCAAAGAGCAGAACTACTGACAAGGGGCAGTGGGGCCCAAAGCTGTTTTGCTGCTGTGCAGCTCTGTAGAGTCCATGGTCCCCAGGGTCCTGAGCAGTCAGTGCGACCAACTTGCCATGGAGCAGAAGTACACGTCTCAGAGAAGGTGCAGCCCTTTGCTTTGTAAATACTTCTCAGTGCCATATCATTAATCCATAATTTCTGATACATTTTTCTTTCCTCTCACAAATCAAAATACAGCTTTTTCATAAGTGTTAGTAACTGACATAGCTTCTGCTGGTGGTGGTGCTTTTATCTAGAGGTCTGGGCAGATGGTTTTAACAAACACCAGAGTCCACAGTTAACACTCAAGTTTCATCAAGTAAATGAAACCTTTTACGATTTGGCTACTGATGCCAAGCAGCTCTCCTAGTTTTTGGAAAGTTATGACCTGAAAAAAACAGCAGATTTTCTTCCCTGAGGGGAATTACGGTAGCATAATACAAATTCTTTCCACCTCTTTTCTGTATCTTGGTATTTTTAATGATTCCACACACCCCAGCAGCAATAAAAGAAAGTGTAATAATACAATTGGTTTGAGAGCCCTGGGTTGTACCATGCTACATCAGTATTCATGACAAGCTGGGCACCGTTTAACTAGGTGTCTTGAGTTAAAGTCACCATAACTGTGCAAACAGCAGCTCAGACCATGCGACAAGCAAGGACGGTGGGTGGGTGTGCAGGTGTGCACACGTGGGCTGGCTGCTGTGTGGGCAGAAGTTTTTGGGCAGCAGCACATATTCACTCTCAATGTTTAAAGAGTGTTTGTGTGGGTCTTTTTCTAAGCCCTTCTCTGTTAGGCTTATGGCCATGTCCTTGTGTTAGGAAATTTTTGCACTGCTCAATATTTGGCAAATAATTCAGCTGGTGCTTTTTGTATCATTGAAGATACAGAGAGCCCTCTCCTCTGGAATAGTCTCCCCCTGGAGAGGAAGGAGGAAATGTTTTGCACCAGTCAGGTCCTGGTACTGCTGTTCAAAGATTAAAAGTGAGGAGTTGCTGTGTGCAAGGAGGTGCCACTCTATGAGGTTTAATGGGGCAACAAGATGAAGGAATGAATAGACGAAATAGATTGCATGTGCTTTTATGTACTCGTTTGTATATAGGCAGTCTAGAAGCTTACAGATGTTTACTTCTTATATTTGCTGCCATTAGTGCAAGAATGACAAACTAATCACAACATATATTTACATATGTGGGTTTCAGTCATGCCAAATATCTAGGAACAGCCTGGAAGACATTTATTTTCTATAGTTTGTGGCTGAATATACCTGTAGAAAAGCAATACTGCTACTTGTGTTTTCAAAAAGTACACTAATAGTTTTGAGTTACTCTAACATATATGCTGCCTGATATCTCATTCATTGTGAAGCTATCTCATAGGGCCTTAGTTATCAGCCAGCGCTTTAGTCTGTGATTAATTAATTACCTAAAATCTAGGGCAGCAGACTTAAAAACCTGCAAAACCTGTCTTTAGCATGGGAGTGCTTTTATTAGCTGTATTTGAAATCATGAAAGAACAAAATTTCTAGATTTAATACCTTTTATTGGAAATAACGAATTCATTTCTGCCTCCCTCTCTTGTCACTTCTATCTTGTTTCCTTTTCTTTTTGTTCTATTATCTTTGGGATGTATTAGATCCATAAGTAGGTATCCAGACACAACATATTTAATTTCAAAGTAATTTTTGTAGTTCTTCTTTTAAAGCATGCAGAACTTCCTACCTCTTTTCTACTCGTTTTGTCTTAGGCTGGCGTTTGTCCTCAATAAATGAACTGTTCAGAGCACGATGTAATCTCTAGAGGGAAAGAAGAAAATAAATTAGTAAAAGCAAGATTAAGAATAGCTCCATAAATAGGTAAACAATTTGGGCTTTGTGTGATGGACTTGAGCATGAATTATTTTGCATGCTCAAGGATACAAGCAATGTCTATGCTTTGTCATTACAACAGATTTATTTTCACTTAGTTTCCCAAGGAAGGCCAATCTGAAAGGTTGATACATAGTTTGCAAACAATCCTTGGTGTTAGAATTCCTCAGAAAAAAAGTGGATCTTGACAAACTTCATTAGTTTCTAAAAGATCTTTTTCACTGTGCTGCTTAAAGCAATAGAAGCTCTTCTCTTTTTTGTGCCCTTTGCTGCAAAGTAACCTCTTCCTTTACAGCAAACACCTAGAGCAATTTTCTTCCATTATTTTCCCTAGAATAATGAAGGAAGTTACCCAGCTTTTCCTGCATGCATCAAATGTCTGGGAACCCCTAGCAGTGAGATAAAATGTTCTGGTTAGGCAGTTCAGGATAACAACACTGTTGCTTCTAGAGTCCAAAAGAGTTGCAAGGTTGCAAGTGCAAATGGAAAGGTCCCTTCTGTAGGCTTTGCGATCGTCAATATTTGAACTGTTTCCTCTGTGCTTCTCATTCCATCGTTAAGTAAGCCTCTTCAAATTCCAGAAGCTGCTGTCACGCTTCCAATGCCAATCATCAGTGTTCTTAACAACCTTTTATACCTTGTTCTTGTCCAGGCTTTCTTAATCCACCACATGACTTCCACAGGTTTACTTTTGAATATGTACCTGACTTGTATGAAGCCAGTACTTCATCTTGGATTTCTTCTTGATTCGTGGTAGGACCAGTCTGTACACGATGTGTTCCCCAATGGTAGTGAGAATGGACAAGCCAAACCCAATGCACAACATCACAAAGAGCCCAGAAAAATGCTTGATGCCCATTTGCAGTGTCTGTGAATAAAATCAAAAAGGGAAGTTAATGAAGTGGGCTGTTACTGTATTTTAACAGATGCTTCTGTTTTCTCATTTGGAAGTGTGGTGCAACTGAATAAACAGTGAATATTGCAGAACAGTCTGGATACCGTTCACAACAAAGCCTTTCTGGGCTGCAGGAACCTTGGTGTTCAGTCAGAGAAAAGGACCTGTCATAGGAATAAGAATCAGCTAAAGGAGATTTTTTCCTTCTGCTGCTTCCCTAATGAGATTCACTGTTGAATACGTACAAGAATCTAGTATTTGTGGTGGCTTTGCATTTTTAAAAGCAAATACTGCGTGACAGAATGCAGTCAATGAACTGCAGAGCAAGTCCTTCATCAGCAGTGAGCTAAGATCAACTGTTCATATTTTCTGAGAACTGATCATTAACTTCCTCTCTTTGTGCTTTATCCTTGACGGAAGGTCATGGAGAAAATATTTTGAAGTATTAACACAAACATAGCACTTCTCCACTCCCTACATTAATAGGACTGAAACTATGTTTGTTAGGAATCCCAACTGCAATTATGGAAAACAGGAACACTCTCACCTTGTTCTGATGCCCCACCCTTTTCATGTAGACTAGGAAGCCTTTAATTGACTTGAGTCTCTTATTGACATTAAATATGTTTGAAGACCAAGAAAGCATGTACAGCATCAATCTGTACTACAAACACCTGCATGCCAATGGGTGGATCAGGTTTCATGTTACGTATGATCTTAGTACCTTTATTCTCATGCCTTCATAACTCAGTTATAAGTTTATCAATAACTAAAAACTCTTGCTAATAATTACTGCCCACACACTACTTTGGAAATATTTCCCAGAATACATGTTCTACTCGTGCCTTTCTATTAAAGAATGTTATTCCCCATTTCAGGAAGAAAAGGAGCAGAAAATTGCTTGAGAAGGGTTGTGTCTCAGGAGACAGTACCTGGGATGCTATCACCTTGGATAATTGACCTATGTGTTCCTTCAGTTTGCTGTTAGTTTGGTGGGTGGGTGGTGGTAGGGATTGTGCTTTGTTATGACTATAGCTGTGTAACCCCAAAAAGAAACTGGATTTTGTTGAAAGATAAATCACAATGTTTGAAAAATCTTGTTATGAGGTCATTTTAAGCCAAAGAGTCGATTAACGATGAGTCCATTGAAGTTGAAGGCTTGGAAATCCCATTGTGTACTTTTGTTGGGCAACTGTGAGCAATATTTCTGTCATCTAGTTTTCATACTTGATTTCTGTTCTTTAAAACAAAATGATATGAGATAGCATTTCACAGATTTTTAACAAGAACAGAGCTTCAGCAATCTAGCAGAGTGAGAACTTTTGCATGTGGCACTAGCGATGAACTCCTATTTCAGGGATTCTCTTCCAAAATCAACCTGCTTGCTCTCAACTGCACTGAGCAGAATTTTTGGAAAGAGAATCTTTGTACCAATGAACAAACACTTGAAGGGTGTTGAAGGGTATAATAGGAGTGTAAAAGCAATTTCTAAAGAAACTTACTGCAGCCTGGAAAGAAAACTGGAAAATCACACTAGAGTGATTTTGGAGTAGAAGGGCGTCAAGAGTCTTGGCGTGAGGGTCTTCTGATGCTGAGGGTGCATCAGTTCAACCTAAAGCAAAGCTTCCCTCTCAGCATCAGAATTTCTTGTTGGCAATAGCCTATTGTCCCATACTTTGTCCTTCCAGTTAGGGGAGCAGGAGGATGACACAAAAATCCCAAGTGGTAATGCCTTAAACTACTCAAAACCTGAAGTGTTTGACTGAAGGTCTATGTTACCTGGCCTGTTCCTTTTAATTAGCATTGAAGCCGAACTTTTCCCAGGTAGCATAAAAGCAGAATGAAGTCCCACATCTGACCTTTTTCTCTGACATCTTTAGAGCTAAGACGTCAGTATGGCCCATCTCTGAATTCAGCACATGTAAGTATCTTTAAGAAGCAAAAAGATTGCTACCCATAGTAGCTGAACCTACCGGTTAAATGTGCTTTTGCCAATTCTCCAAGAAGCGTTAATGCAAATCACTTGCTTCCCAAAAAAGATGTTCAAGGCCAAGTATGAAACACCTTCCTTAGAGATGTAGAGTTAACAATAAATATAAGAATAAATGAAATGAGAAACAGAATAATAATTAAAAAGAAATAGATTTGCTCAGTCAACTGAAGAACAGACCTATGCTCCCAAGCTACGGCCGTTTGGTGTCATACCAAATAAGTCTATGGTGGGCATTTCCATAAACTGCCTTGGTGGCAGGAACCAGTGAATCAGCTGACTGAAGGTCTTTCTGCTTAGTGACTTGAGAAGTAATGCAGAAGTTCCCAAAGGCAGGGGAGATCACTAAGGAGGCCTGATCTGCTGGTGTTAGGTTGCTGAATGGTAGGGAGCATTTATGTTACTCTGAGAATAGGAACTGGGTTTAATGGAGTATGATAAAACTCTAGCCATTGAAAACAACAATGATAAAAAGAGACACAGTGGCAATTGCAGTGGGGATTCCTGGATGTGTGAGTTGTCTCCTCCAGCCCGAGGTCGGTGTTTGATGCCACTCCAGTACTGCTGCAGAGAGAACACTTGGCCCGCTCCTTACATGAAAAATAACATCCTGTCTTCAGTAAAGCTGCTCTGATTTATGCTGATGAGGGTCTGGCTTACTGTCCTGTCAGCTCTGCAGAATAGTTTTCTACCTTCCCTTGAAACAAGTGAAAGAAAATCCAGCCCTGGCATCTCGGATGCATTTTTCACTTGTAATGGATAGCTTTTGAAATTGTCCCAAACAAGACATCTTTTCCTAGGAAAAGAAATGCCAAAACAAAGCATCAATAATATTTCATCTAGCAATAAAGAAGAAAATGCATTGAAAGAGCTGCCTGATAAAGGCTGCACAGTAAAGGGAGATTTTTGAGACTAAATTAAGTGGAGAAACGAGGTAGGGGAGAAATAATTGGCAGTGTGTCTTGCAGTGTATGGAGTGATTATTTATAGCAATATCAGCACATTTACATACCACTGTTAAAAGGCAATTTATCAGCTGTTCATAATTACTGTAGACACACAGATGTTAAATAATGAAGGAAACCATCTAATAGAGGCACCTCTCATTTTCGTAGCTTCATGTTGATCAGAATCAGAGCAGCAAGCTCTACTACTTATTTCATAGTTTGTGTATGTATTTGTAGGTGCATATATAGAATATATTTCGAAAGAGCAGCAATAAACTGGATTCTCTGTATCACTGCTTTCTTCTCTGCTGAAGTGATAGAGGTCAGGGGGGTGTGTTTGTGTTAAGTCTTTGCTGGCAATAGAAAACCAACTGATGACTTTCTCTACTGCAATATCTTGTATTTTTTTTCTTTAAAGGAATAAAAGCCCATAACGTGGTGTAATCTCTGTTAACCCAGGATAAAAATACAGTCCTTGCTCCAACTTTGTAAACATAAATTCAGGAGGTAGCTCCCTGCACTTTAGGAGAAGGAACTCAATTATGTTCATGTGGCAGTTCTGAAGCAGTAAGCAACCATAGTCAATCCTGTGATGACTACAGCTAACGGGTGCTAAGTGCTACACTGGCAACAGCCTCTAAGTTATTTGCCACTTGCAAGTTGGGAAATTGGCAGTTTCTGAAAACCAACAAATACAAAACCAGAAGTGGAGGTATCTGCTTTTTTTATATATCCTTGGAGAGACTATTCTGATTTATCAACCCGTATCTGCAATTCCTACCTAAACATTTCCTGGTGTCTCCTCTGTAGTTATATGCTTTTTCTCTGGGCCTTGAAGAGAAGGAAGGGGATGTAAAGAAGAGAGTTTGATATTTGCATTCTCTTTGAAGGGGGGCGCAGAGACAAAAACAGTACTCTGATTTCATTATTAGATTTCATGGGCAAAACTCTTGCTTACTCCCTACTACAAGAGACTGTAGATGCTTTATTTACCCTCCCCGGTTGTACTGAGAGCAGTGAATAAGCCATCAAATATGCCCGTGGCCCAGCTTTTACTAATTAGAAATCTCTGAACATTTTTGTGGATACTTTGCAGGTTGGCAGCACAGCACAGGTATTGGTGCTACACACTGCTCAACCCAAACACTAAATAGGGATATCATGTGTGTATTAGCTATAATAATCTATCCTTTTCAGAAGCATTTTCCTTGCAAGGATTTTAAAACACTTTGCTGAGATCAGGAAGTTAAATTTTGCAGCACCTCTGCGAAGAAAGAATTATTTCCAGCTTTACTAGAGATAAATGGATATGAAGGGCAGATTTCTAAACTGATTAGGGCATCTCAGTAGGATTTCAAAATCCTACTGATGCTGATGCTTGTATTTAGGTAACTAAACAGTATTAAAACCTGTCCCTGTCTCAAAATTGTGGCATTTCTTGTAGCTGCAGAGACTGTTACTTATTTATTATTTGGCCTTATGGCTTTCTGTGCTCTCAAAGAAGTGGCAGCATTGAAGTAGTATATATTTAATCACTTCAGGGAGATTATCCTTAGCAAAGACCGGTAACTCTAGCTTTAGGGTTTCAAGTGCCAAATTTTAAGATACTGCAAATCACTGTCTCACGTTAGCAAGACGTTCCTTTCCCCTCTTGTTGTGAGTATTTTTGCACAGATCTTGAAAAATACTTCCTTTTCGTGAGACCTCACCTGGAGTACTGCGTCTAGTTCTGGAGCCCCCAACATAAGAAGGACATGGACCAGTTGGAGAGGGTCCAGAGGAGGGCCACGAAGATGATAAGAGGGCTGGAGCACCTTTCCTATGAGGACAGGCTGAAAGAGTTGGGGCTGTTCAGCCTGGAGAAGAGGAGGCTCCGGGGTGACCTTATAGCGGTCTTCCAGTACCTCAAGGGGGCCTACAGGAAAGATGGGGAGAGGCTGTTCAGGAGGGCCTGTTGTGATAGGACAAGGGGTAATGGTTTTAAAATAGAGGGAGGTAGATTCAGGTTGGATATTAGGAAAAAATTTTTTACCATG